AAAGATGGCGAGAAAGCGAAGAGTGCTGCCACATTATCACAAGCAGATGGCAATAAGGCGGGACGGTCAACGATATCCTGAACGATTGTCAGGAAAGACTTAGAAAGTGGGCGAAAAATGATAGAGCTGTAAAGTTGAAAAGAGAAAAAGAGATTATTAGCAGATTACAAGTTATTCAGGGGAGCCTTTGGGATCCAATGGTGGTTAGAGAAGAGAAGGATCTACAGATAGAATTGGAGGCCTTGTGGGTTTCTGAAGAGTCTTTCTGGGCTCAGAGATCCAGAATTTCGTGGCTACAAGAAGGTGACCAGAATTCAAGTTTCTTCCATGCCAGTACAATCAAAAGGAAGAATCGCAACCGAATACTGAAGCTCGGAGATGGGGAGGGAAACTGGATTACCAATCCGAGGATCCTGGAGGAGTATGTCAATGGCTTCTACCACAATCTTTTCAAAAGCAAAAACTAGCAGTCCAATCCAAGCCTGTTGGATGGATTCCCCACACTTGTCTCGGATGAAATGAATGCTGGCCTATGTGCACCAGTTGTGAACGAGGAAATTCGTAGGGCAGTTTTCCAGTTGGGGGCAAATAAAGCTCCTGGACCAGATGGCTTCCCTGGTTTGTTTTTTAGGAAATACTGGACTTCCCTGGGTGATGCCTTCTGCAAGGAGATTTCCAACTTTTTCGTGTCAGGGATTTTGCCTGAAGGCTGGAACGACACCTTCATTACCATTGTCCCCAAGATTGATGCCCTTGAAAGTATTGGCCAATTCAGACCAATCAGTTGTTGTAATTTCAGGTACAAGGTTATCACTAAGATTATGTCCAACAGACTTCAACCCTGGCTCCCTGATCTGGTTAATGAACTTCAGTCGGCCTTCACGGGAGGAAGACAAATACAAGACAATATCATCATTGTGCACGAGGTGCTCAACCACTTTAAGAAGCTCAAATCAGGCAGCAGGAAAGAAATGATGCTTAAACTGGATATGAGAAAGGCCCATGACTTGGTGGAATGGGATCTCTTGATTCATTTTCTCAAATCCTATGGTTTCAACCAAATTTGGTGTAAGTGGATTCACTCATGCATCTCAACAGTCAATTTCAAAATCCTTTTTAATGGAGAACCATCTGCTGGTTTCAAACCCTCAAGAGGTATTCGCCAAGGAGACCCTTTATCTCCTCTGCTCTTCATTCTCATGTCGAATGCGCTTTATTTCCTGATTGAAAAAGCAGTCTCGAACAAGGATATCAATGGAATCAAACTTAACAGGCACTTCCCCACTCTCTCTCACTGCTTGTTTGCTGATGATACAGTAATCTTTGGGGAAGCCTCTACCGAAGAAACGAGGAAGATCCTGACCATTATCGAGAATTACGGGACTATCACAGGACAAGAGGTCAATAAGGAGAAGTCATCCATGTTCTTTAGCAACAATATCCCAAGGGATGTCCAGGAAATTATCATAAATGCAGCAGGGTTTGCCTCAGACTGCCGCCACTCCAACTATCTGGGAGTTCCCACGGAATGGGGGATATCAAAGAAGGAAACTTTCAACTTTTTGGTACAACGGATGGAAAAAAGAGGAGAAGCCTGGAAAAGCCTTCTTCTATCCCCGCGCAGGGGGGGGGGGGGGGAAGAGTCCTTCTCAAGGCAGTGTTCCAAGCGGTTCCCTCCTATATCATGTGCCTGTTCCTTATGCCAAAGTCTATCACAAAGAAAATGGATGCCATGCTGAAAAATTTCTTCTGGGGGGGATCGACCAACAGGAAAACCATCCACTGGAGGGAAGGCCACGTCTTGTATGCCCCAAAAAATGAAGGACGACTTGGGTTTCGTCCCTTCCACGACTTCAATCTGGCTCTAATTGCTAAGCAGACTTGGAGAATCCTCACCAACAAAGATGCTCTATGGGTCAAGGTACTCAAAAGCATCTACTTCCCTAAGATCGACTTTCTTTCTGCCAAGAAGGGAGGGAAGGCATCGTGGATCTGGTCTAGCCTTTGTGAGGCAAAAAAATGGATGGAAATTGGTATCATCAGGGTCATTGGCAAAGGGAAATCTACCAAAACCTTTCAGGACCCATAGAGAAGAGACCGTGCAGGAAGATTACTTGATTTTGAATGGCCGGACCCTTCTACAGTGGACTGTTGGATCGATGGTATCAACAGAGAGTGGAGGTTCGACCTACTTGAACAATTCCTCAGCCCACACGACCTGAGACAAGTGGCGGCCATCCCTATTGGTCCAAGCTCACTGGAAGACTTCTGGGCATGGAGATTCACTGACCACGGCTGTTTCACAGTTAAGTCAGCTTTCCTTCTCTTCCACCAACGTACCAGGATGATTGAAAGACACCAGGGCTCGTGTTCTGTCGAGGATAAGGATCGATGGAAATGGTTATGGAGCCTTGCTATTCCCCCTAAGCTCAAATTCTTTGTGTGGAAAATATCGAGAGGTGCCCTTGCCTCGAAAGAAAACCTACACAAGAGAAAGTGCTCCCCTAGCATGAACTGCCCGCTGTGTGCCCATCCGATCGAATCGATTCACCACTGCTTATTTGCATGCCCTCATGCAAATGAAGGCTGGAGTAAGGAATGGCCTTCGCTCTCCCACCCTAATCCAAGTACCCCGTTCCTGGAATGGCTGCATCCACTGACGTCCAGGTACCCGATCGTTTCCATCCAGAAGATTATTTTCCTCCTCTGGCAGACTTGGAAATCAAGAAACGAGTGTATCTTCAGAAACACCACACCTTGGCCTCCTTCGACGATCTCAAAAGCAACCTCTGTTCATCATCAATGGACCTCCTGCCCCAAGAAACCACCAACTGCTACTTCCCCTACTCAGCCTATCCCACCACCGAATCTAGCTTCACCACCGCCAAGTACTCATGACTTTGAGATACACTGCGACGGGTCTTTCTTCCCTGACCCCAGGGAGGCGGCTTTTGGCGTCGTTGTCACGAACAGCCATGGTCAAGTGTGTGACGGTAAGGCTGAGTCCCTGCATTGTTTCTCCCCTATTGAAGTGGAAGCTAAAGCTCTGGAGGAAGGCTCGTGTTTGGCTGCTTCCCTTCGCTCTCCATGCCTTTTTCATTCGGACTGCTTGACCCTTGTTAAAGCGCTCAGTGAGCAACCGACGACATGGCCTTGGCGAGCGGCAGCTTGGAATGGAAGCATCAAGCAAACGTTGGATAACAACCCGATGGTTCGGATCAAGCACATTGGTCGCAAGAGCAACTCAATGGCAAACTGGGTAGCTAGGTCATGTGCCAAGAATACTTTACCCACTGAATGGGTTCAGATTCTTGAAGTTGTATCACACTTCTGTAACTTTGGTTGTTCACAATGGAATGGAAATGCAATGCCTTCTTGTAAAAAAAAAAACTAGCAAAGTAGCCTGGAGTCTGTACCTGATTCAGTTGATTATATATGAAGTCAGTGTATGTAGTGCTGCAATATGTAGTGCTGCAAATTCAAACTTTGCCTGTAGTGTAGCAGGTTTCCATTTTCTTTTTGCATATTAGTATAGTTTGATACTGCAGATTCTGGTGTGTGTACCTAAATCCGACAGGTGTTGTTTTTTCGAGGCTGGTCATGTTGGACCAAATGGAAGTCAAACACATCGGTGACGCACCATAGTCATCACAAATGGAGGTCAAATGCGACAATAGCAATTATATATTTCCAACATTTTTTTCAGTCAGTATTTCTTTGTCGTGAATGACTACATGGAATTGCAAATAGATTGCAAGAGATGGCAGTTTGTATTATAATTGAAAATGCTTGCATATCTATTGCCAAATCACTTTGTAATTTAATATAATAGTTTGATGTGCATACTCTAAGTAACATGATACAAGAATTAACATCATGTGACAGTCACTTGTCAATATATACACCATTAAACACTGACGGTCAAGATTAAAAGGAAACTAAAATTTGGCATACAACTGTAATATACAAAACATAGTGACACAATCGACATAAACCCTCAATTATAAGTTTTTTATTCATATGAAGCTTTTTTTTTTTACTAAAAATTTTATTGAAAAATTATATTTTGGGACATAAAATATTTGAGTAGATACTACTTATTAGCCAAACCTTTCCCGCATTTTTTATTAGCCAAACCTATAGAGTTACTAATTTTTAGTCAAATATTAACTTTCAGTTATCAATTTTGTTAGTAATATTGACTTGCCAACATGGTACTGACCTGAAAGAGACACATGCAGGTCAACATTCCAAAACTTTAGAATTTTTGCTAAGAAAAGAGTTACAAAATTATTAACGATACTAGAAAAAGGCTAATATTTTGATGCATTACAAAATATTTGGCTAATTATTAGTGATTCAATAGGCTTGACTAATAACCAAGAATGCAGAAAAGATTTGGCTAATAAATAGTATTTACAAAAAAAAAAATTATCATGACATTTTAGTATCTAAATTTTCCAAATATATATCGTGGTATGATGTTTAGATGTCACTTGGATCCATATGTTAATCAATGGTATATGATCCACAATTGGACCTCTCCCAACAACTCTAGTTGTTGGGATCAACTTGTTCTCGACATAGTATTAAAACCTTCTGTAACCGATTTCAATCCACCAATCAATTTGATACAATACATAAATCCACCAATTCATAAATCAAATCCTATCCAACGCATTTGCTACATGCCCATCTCTCCTTGTCATCATCCTCTATCCTTGCTGCAACCTTGCAAAACTTCCCAAAACATCCAAGTTGAGATGAGTCAATCAGTAGAAGTCAAAAGCAGTTAGAAAAGATAGTCTTGTCAAGAAAGGGAAACTCAAATATGGCTTCCGTTTAGCCACATTGGTACTACTGCTGCGGCCTTTCTACAATGACGCAAGTAGTTGCCACCTTTACTATTTAAAGAAGGAAGCTGTCCCATTTGCAATTGCAGGGCAGGTACATCTAACTTCTTAGCTTTGGTCTAAAAGAGGCAATTGTTGGAGATGGAAATGGCGCATGTGCTTCATATGAATGGTGGAATTACATGAGACAGTCCGATCTGTTTGAAATCGACCGAGAGAGTTAAAGTAGTGCGTCAATTTGAGATTCTGCCCGCTCCTTTCTTCTTTTCACAGCGGAAGGTGATATCAATGACCCGACGACCCATAATAGAGCAAGCCGTTATGGGACTCGTCCGAAGCTCGAGCTTCTCCGGAAGGAATCTAGCCATCGCCGATCTGGGATGCGCTTCAGGACCTAACACTCTTTTCGCTGTGTCAGAACTCATCAACGTAGCGGACAAGGTTAGCAGGAAGCCAGGCCACGTATCTCTCGATTTCCAGGTTTTCCTGAATGACCTCCATGGAAATGACTTCAACAGTGTCTTCAGAGCCTTCACTTCATTCACTCGTCCTACAGTCTCCACTGGCTATCACGGGTTCCTCCAGGATTGGAAGAGATGAATAAGGGAAACATTTCCATCGGGAGCAGCAGCCCACCAGGTGTCTTGAAAGCCTACTACACTCAATTCCAGACAGACTTCTCGTTCTTTCTGAGCTGCAGGGCGCAAGAACTAGTGCGAGGAGGGCGAATTCTTTTTACATTATTGGGAAGGAAATGCCAAGGCCCATCCACCCTGCAATGCATTTATCTCCTCGAACTCTTGTCTGTCGTCCTCAACCAAATGGCCATGGTGAATTGAAATATATTGATGTTCTATAACTATTAGGATGTTCTGTTTCTTTGTAATCTTATGATTATGTTGTGTTACTCCTCAGGGATTGATAGATCAAGAGAAACTGGATTCCTTCAATCTTCCAATTTACATGCCATCCCCAATGGAAGTACAAGTTGAAGTCCAAAAACAGGGCACTTTCACCATTGAACGTCTAGAGGTTTGGGAATCTAGTTGGAATCCATCCCCATGAAGGGGAAGTAGACTTGCCTGAATCCCTACAAGACGGTGGGCGCAATGTGGCGAGGTGCATCAGGGCGGTGATGGAACCACTACTAGTCCGTCATTTTGGTCCACAAAGGAAAATTATGGATGAGATATTTCTGAGATATGGAGTTATTCTCTCAAATTGGATGGCCATGGAGGAAGCTATCTATGTGAATGTCATTGTATCGCTAACTAAGCCCTAGTGTTGCACAAGACATGTTCACGTAGTAGCATCATGTTTCATGTATCGTGCTACTGTGTAGAGCATATCATGTTATTTGGCGCTAGAAACTTACTATTTTTCCTCCATAATTTTGAATAAAAGGACAATTCTCATATTACTCTTTGGAACCGAAGCTCGCCAAAAACTTGAGGCAAGGGCCACTAGCATGTTTCTTACAACGCCATGATATGAACGAGTTGCCAACACGGACAAACTTACCAGAAATGGAATAGCTTGTATCAAGCCAACCTGTTTAGTCAACATCAACAAATGCTTCAAGCAAAGGTTCACCACCTGCAGGAAAGAAGAGCCCCAAGTCTTGTGTTTCCTGTAGATATTGCAAGATATGCTGAACTACATCCAATATGCATCACACATGCCATGCCCATAAACTGACTTACCACTTGTACTGCGTAGGTGATATTTGGTCTAGTGGACCTAATTAAAGTATTTTAGACTTCAAACCAGACTCTGATAGTATGTCTGATCGTCCAGTAAATAATCCACACTGGTATGAATCATTTTGTGATTTTGCTCCATCGGTGTATTACTCAATTTACAGTTCTACAACCTGTGCTCGGCCAAAAGATCATGTACATACTTCCGCTGAATCACAAAAATCCCCTTAGCTGGCCATTATGTTCCAAGACCTAAAAAATATGAAATATCTTCTAGTTCTTTCAAATTGAATGATTGTCGAACATACTGAGTAAGTTCTTCTATTCCTTTGCGATCATCGCTCGAGATGATCATGCCATCAACATACGGTAAGAGAATTAGCATACCATGCACTGTTGATCATAACAACAACAAAAGGATGCTTCTGGCTTATACCACGATAAGAAAATGAAACATAATCGAAAGAACACGCACACATTATATTGTTGGAATTTTTAATAATGTGAATGAAAATGAAAAGAGAATGAGCTAGAGAAGCTCTTGAAATACCATATTGGTTATATATGGGAAGGAGGCCTTGAATTTGGTCAATTGATTTGATTAAATCTTTTGGTGATTGGTTAAATTGGTTTGTGTAACCAACCGGACCAAATCAATTTGAACCGGTCCGATGTGGCGGTTGGAGTGAACCAACCGGTCTGAATACCATGGGCCAAACCGATACAATGGTTTAGTATTTTAAAATGAACCAATGTGTTGCTTGGGGTGTAACCACCCACCCGAAGGGTCACATCCCTTCACACACACCCCTTCATTTTCTATAAATAGCACCAACCCCCTCTATATTCATAAGCGAATTTTTTTCTAAAAAGGATTTTCGGCCGAAAGAAAGAAAATGGGTTTTCTTCTTCATTAAATTTTCCTCTCTACAAATGCATAAAATAAAATAGAGTCGTGTGGCTTCTTGCCGTTTGTTGCGTTCGCTGGTTTCTGGGGTTTCAACTACCAGTACGCCAAAAAAGGTACATCCGTTCTATCTTGGGAGGAATAGTTCCATTAACCTTGGGTACCGTAGAGGGGAACTAAATTCCTTAAGGAGAAATAGTGAATTTTATTGGCTCAGACAGGGTTTATGCATGAGTCGTATTTTCTTCTTCTTAACATATTGTTCAATTTGATTCCTATATGTGACTTGTGTTGCATGAAATATGGTATATATGAATAATATCCACAACACACATTAGTTACGTGGTACCCTTGAGTATCATGACTAGTTCAAGGAAGAGCTGAACCCTCCGCATTGGCGGAGGCAGGATTTGAAACTACCCCTATCCTCTTTTCAGAATATAAACATATAAATAATTAACAATTAATAATAAATAGATCAAATTAAATTTAACAACATCTAAATAATCCGTTAATAAATAAAGAAATAACCGACTATACAATTATAATTTGCATAAATTATCACAATGAGTGTTCATATTCTGAAATAAATGCAAAATATATCCATTATTTACACTCTTAAGAAAGTCTCTTTCAATGTATCCCACTAAACAATCATTTGCAAATCGATTGCCAATTCGACTTCGAAGCTTGTTTTAATATAGCTCAAGTTAAAAAATGTTCTTCCTAAACTTATAGTTGCAACTGGTAGAATCAAAACTACCTTCAGAAGCAAATAAACTGAAGGAAACGACATACACTTATGTCTCTATCATTACTCGAGATAATTCATCATGAACAAACAGTTGTCGAATAATAATGTCATGATGGAACCAATAAATCAATTAATATTTTTGTCAATTAATGAACAAGTAATGACTAATGAGTTAAGGTGGAATGACAAAAAATTCTTATGTTACGTGTAAGTGTGACATTTTTCTCGAGCCCCAAATTTTACCTCTGTATTGAGACAAGGGCATAGGGGGTTGGCTCTGCCTATGACTCTCCAGAGTCAATCTTACTCGGCTTGACCATTTATAGTTTACATACAACATATATACATATAACCCACGGTCTCGGCTAACCCTAACTGCTATTACACAATTTAGATGGACAATTATATATAAACCCCTAAATTATGCATGAGTATCATTTTCAACCGCTTCGTCGTATAACCACAAAGTATTTTGAATCACTTTTTATGTTAAAAATAACAACATATATATCATTGTGTTGATCATAATTAATGCGCTCTTTCTATGCAAAAAAAAAATATCGTGTTAATACGAAGGAGATATGACCCAATAAGGTCAAAATTCTCCTCTCTTCCCCAAAAATTTTGTGTGTGTCACAGAAAAAATCCGAAGAGGTGGAGAAATTACCAGTCCTGATAAAGCATAAGGGGGTGCTTTTGATTAGAATACGCAGCAAAACAAACAATCGAACGATAATTGATGGAAAGGTAGAATTCTCGCCACAATCGAGGTGATTTATCAATTGATAAGAGAACTTCCTAAACGATTCTGAAATCCACTCAAAATAGCCTCACAAGGGTCTTGTAATTAGCTAAGGAATCCACTCGAAGATAATGACAATGGGTAACTCTCGAGACGCTATCAAGAACTCAAACACTTGGTTTGTTATTCAATTCAATCAACTCTAACTATTACAACGAAAACTAGAAAGTTATTTAAAGGCAAATAAAACCTAATAGAACTAGTAAACAATTAAGGTAAAAATTTACTCTAAAAATGACACAAAATTCGGCCACGAACTCCTTTTCTTCAAGCATAAGTAAGCTGTCAGCACACAGGCCAAATCAACTTTCGTTCGAAATTCGTGCCATTCGTTCGAGGCCTTCCCAAATTCCAATCTTTCACCCAATTCCTTTGATGCTCTAAAACACAACTCCTAACAAAGGCCAAGTGTAGCCAATGAAAGGGACTGCAGTATAGTGGCTCAAGTGATAAATATCGAATCCACGGGTCTCTAGAGTTACTATTACTCAGCTTCAGTTTATTATTTAGCAAATCAGATTAAGATGAAAGAACTAAAACTACTCTAGCAAACTACAGTTAAAGTTAATCTAATTACAGGTTGGGAACTCACTTAGGTATGATTCCCCCTAGCCACTAGCCAGATTAATGATTGATGATCTCTAACCTGTTTCACTTTCATTCACAATGCGGAGAATCCTTGACTAGACCTTGAGTCTCGACTAAAGGAACAAGGCCCTCTTGAGTCAATTGCCTAGAGGGACGTATCCTTCTCTAGAACAACTGATCAAGGCGTTCTGAACTAGACTCCCTCTATCGAAAGGGGTTCTCAATCGATACAAAGCAGTGACTCAACCCTCGACTAAAGCAATCGATCCACTACTATCAATCTATGGTGCTCTATTGACCTAATCAGGTATTCCCTCTCATAGGATCAAAGCAGAATCAATAATCTCGACTAAAGCAGAATTGAATCATGAAAACATGCATAGATTGAATATGAACTCAAGATTATCAAGTCAAAGTACTCATACAATCATCCAATCAAACAAACATAGCTAGGGTTCCTCAAAACCTAAGTGAAGGGAAGTTACTCCATAGAGAAGAGAGAGACTGCAGTAAGAATCTTCAGATGATCAGTCTTCAAGTCCGGGCTTGTTCCTCGAGCTTCCAAGGCGAAGAAATCCTCCTTCTCTACTCCAAGAATGCCCTCAAATCGCCCTCTCTCTCTAGGGTTCGTCCCTTGGGTGTTTGGGATCCAAAACCCAGCTCTCCTCCTCCTTTGGCTCGAATTTGGGTTAAAAACAGCCATTCCCGACTCGCACGGCCAGGGTGCACGGCCGTGCACATCACCATTCTGGCCGTGCACCTCAAAACGCGGCGTATCAATTAGTTGAACCTCAGCCAACTCGCACGGCCAAACTGGTCACTTGCACGGCCGTGCGTGGCCACGCACAATCCCGTGCGTGCCCACGCACGATCCCGCACGGCCAAACTGGTCAATTGCACGGCCGTGCGGGTTGTGGGTGTGCCCGTGCGACTTCCTCAGAACCTCGCCATGCGTCCGATCCTCGTCCAATCGTCCCCAGACTCGCTCCTAAGCCTTCATTCACGTCCTAGGACCTGAAATATCACAAACAAGCACAACCTACCGTGAAATCGGCCTAAAACACGAGAATCAACACCTCAAACGGTGTAAGAATGGGGGTAAAAACATGTGTAAATTACGGTCTATCAAACTCCCCCACACTTAACCGTTTGCTTGTCCCCAAGCAAACCTAACTCAAACCAATGCAACTCTCCAGACCTCTATAGCAACAAACACCCCAGATCGTAGGTAGAGGACTTCCTAGATCATTTAGCAACTTACGAGGTCAACCGAAACACAAGTCATCTCATAGCTTCTTCGGCGAGAGCACTAGTATCGAGTCGGCATCATGGCAAATAGTGAACAGAGGACAAATGAATTGTGGATGAAGAGATTCTCAAAAACAAAAGATCATGGACTCACATTTTTCAAGGTGCTCTATTTTCTTCTTGAAGATGGTTGGAACCCCTTTTCTTTTCTGTTTTGCATGTTTTCTGTTTTTTTTTTTTTTTTTCAAGGGTCCCAACCTGCTCTTACCGGCCATGCCAGGAG